TCTCTCTATATATATATATATATATATATATATATGAATATATATATATATATATATATATATATATATATATATATATATATATACTATATATATATATACACACACAATTATGTTTTGACGTGTGTAGAATTTTAGTCACCCTTGAACTTTTTGTTTTTACATTGATTTTCTAGACCCATGTATTTCCATTAATTACTTATTTCTGCTCTTTCATATACATTCATAAATATTGTCAGTTTGGAAATCTGTCTAAATTGTAAAGAGAATCTCAAAGAGTCTGCGCCATAGATATTTTATGTGTTTATGCTTTTTTTTAGAACATTTTAATATGCTCTGATAAAAATTGGTGTTTTTCTAATATTCAGCTTGGTGACTGAAAAGGATTTTTCAAAAACAAAAAAAATGTAACTCTCTTTAATTTTCCAAGTGCCCTGTACTTTCCAAGGGACCTTTTGTACTTATAGTTTGACAGTGCATGTGTTTAAAACCTAACAGAAAAAGATCACTGACTATAAAGTTGGAGGGTAGGCTCAGTCTACCCCTACTTTTCCTCCTTAATGGCTTTGGATAAACTTTATTTTGTTTTTCAGTTTTTCATTTTCTTTAAAATAAGTTAGAGACGTCAAAGCCTTCAAGATTTTATGAGTCCCAAAGAAGACACAATTGAAAGAAATGTGAGGGCATTGTCACCTAGGTGCCGAGTACTTTTATGGACACAGACTTGTTACCTCAGAAAGTTCTTTTAAGGAAATTAACTCTTCAGAGACGTGACATACTGAGAGAGACTGGGTAATAAGCAAAGGAAAGTGAAATGCGGAAATGGCCAAGGAAAACTGGTAGGCAGTGGGGATGCTTCCCCTTTTGCTTGTTTTTAATCTATAGTCTAGTTATTCCTATTTGAAAACCTACTGGCACCAGGTATTATCAACAGGGATGAGTAATATGTCATTTTTATCTTTACTGGGTTACATTTGGCCCACAGACGTGACAGCTGTCAGTCAGGTGGCTGGTCGATGAGGAGATACATATAAAGAGGCCAAATATTTTTGTTTCTTTAAATACTTATGAGTAAATCACTTTAGCTGGAAACTAATTGTACTGAAATTAAATAGATTGCTATTCACTATATAATTTATTGAAGTTAATTGCTGGAAGAATCAAGATTTTTCTCTCTGAATATGTAAGGTAAACAAAACGTTTTTCAAGTTTCTTTTTGAAAGACGAGAGTGATTACTTTTCCTCCAGTGGAAAATAAGCTGTCTTTCAGATAGGAAGGTATTGCAAATAATTGCTTAAACTGCATACATGTACAAGTTAAAATTTGCAGGGCAGGTAGAGTCACCACTGTTTTATGCCACCATTTCTTATTAAGAATTATGAAAAGAAACCATTTCTATACATTGAGGAAGTTGGCATGGGTATTTTTGTGATATAGCATTGAAGATTTATTAGAAAAGGTATGCATGTAGCTCCATGTCAAACAGATATCATTTCTTTTCATAATGAGAAAAAGAAAAATCATGGCATTTTAAATTAAACCCATAATTCAGGGCACAGTTAAAATGATCATTTGGATTGTTTTGAAGTATTTGGGCTATGTCTCACATTGTTCCAGCTCAGTTCACTTATATACCTAAATAACTGATAGTCATAGCAGTCGTGTGGCAGAAGCTTGGGATCGTGCACACTGAGCGCTCATGATGAACAAGGTAATACTATTAGCCAAGAGTAATGCACATGAAACCTTACAAATAGAATTCTGAAGTGTACTGTAGATGCATGTTCAGTTTTGCAGTAGAGAGTCACCATCTTTAAAAGCAAGTGCTCTGATTCTTTGAGAATATAGTACTTGAAAGATAAGGAAAAGTTATCAAGTGTCTAGAGTACATCCTTATTCTTTAAGAGAGTAATGAAGTTACCTAAAAAACTTGGCAACTGTGGTTAATCAAGTGTCAGAATTAACATAATGAAACAATGACAAAATATCAGATGAAAATAGCAGTTTAAAACCACAATATAAATATTTAAAAATATAAAATATGCTTTAATTGTCTGATACCTACACTTCATGTAATAATTTGCAATAGAAAGTAGATCTGGGTTTTAATTTTCTAAGATGTATATTCATTAAAATGTTCATGCTTAAGATGATGTCTTTAAAAGATTATACATTTTTGGTTAAGTAGACTATTTCTGGTCATTTTGAAAGCCATGTATATTCCATGATTTTAAACAACAATTAAACCAGTCTAAAAGAGTCTGATTCTTATTAATTTGTGGCATATTCATATCATCATTGATTTAAATTTTTTTTAGGTACAGCGGTCATTAAAAAAGTCAGATTAAATTTTTTCCCACTATGCAACTATTTATTAGGCATGTAGATTGAAAATTATTTATGGGATCATCAGAATAAAACACTGGCTCATAATATTAGTAATTCATATTGGTAGGAGTCTTTCCTTTCTTAGCACCAAGTCTACCCCCCACAGCCCAGAAAATTGATTTTATGCATAATAATTTATAGCATTCTTGATCAATGTATGCTGTTGTGTCTTTTACATTCATTACCCATGTTGCTTGTGAATATGGAATGTGGATATTAAAATGGTTTCATATGTTTACTATGTATAGTGTCTAGATTTGAGCTGCTTACTTGCTTAAATAAATGTTTTCAATTTGCTGTAATACAACAATTTGTAGAAAAATGCTGTGAAGCATAGTTAAAAGAATGAGTCCTTGAAATAGAATCACTTTTTAAAAATATGTCCTAACATGTGGTCTCATTTTTCTGTGTTTTGCATTGATTCAGATCCTATTCTGAAAAAAATGATTTTTGCCTAAACTTTTGAATTCACAAAATAAAAATACCCAATATACAATGTACTAATTTTGGAAATCAATGACGTAACATCATGCTTTAGTACTCTCTTGATTGTTTATTCCACAGATTCTTCTCTAAAGAAACTCTTTGTAAAGTAATGAGAATATGTTGCTACTTTTAGTTATTAAGTATTCTGCTCAATACATGCTTTTAAAATGTATTAAAACTAAAGTTAATTCCATATTGTCTCTGATTATATTCCCGTAGCATGAACACATTTTTAAAAAACTAGCACATGGAATTTTTGAAACTAGCATTTACCATTTCACATTTTTTATTTGGGAGATTTATTTATTGGGAAATAACATTTTATTCAGTAAAGAAGTAAAAGGAGACTAAAGTGCTATTTATTTAAATAGCCCATATTACATATGTAATTAACTCTTCATCTTTCAGCTACTGAAGACAGTAATGAGAGAGATCAATATTAAAATATAAATTGGTTCTTTTACAAAAGTTTTTGTTTTTCAAAAATCTGAAAATTTGTCAAATCGTTATCAGTTCTGCCTACATCCGGCCAACCCACTGTTGAGCTAGTTGGCTCTGATTCCACTTGGTCTCATCAGCTTCGCGAACGTAGGTACCTCAGCAGTGCCTCTTACAAGATACCAAAATCAACTTTTAGAGATTAAAAAAATACATTTTGGCAATCGAAACTCACCAGTGCCTTTCTGCTTCTCCAGGAAGTTGTACCCGTCAGCACCTGCTGAGGGCTTTGTTGTCCAAACTCTGACAGGTAAAAAAATTCCTGTAGAATAAAGCCAGACCAGCTGGCTTTGAAGAGAAACCCCCCAGTTTGGGCTGCGTTTGCCTCCTCTCCTTTTCTATGAAGACCGAGGCTTTGCCCCCTTGATCGTCAAGCCGTGAGATGCGTGATCCCTCTGCACAAGTGTCTGGCAGGCCTAGGTGCACCTGTTCCTGTCACTCTGGAGTAAATTTAGCTGTAAAGGTATCACTGACAACCAGACCTTTGTCAGTGCTGGCAAAAGAACACAGAATTGCTTCTCTCCCCTCCCCCTCCCAACCTCCTGCACTGTGAGTTCCAATGGAAAATATCCAATCGGAAGTCTATCCAAAAATCATTCCTAAAACATGAAATTGCTTTCATATGGTACGAAGAAGTAAGTTTCCTCATTTCACACAGCCTTTAAAATTACATTTCCAAGAATAATCTTGGAACAAGACAAGTTTTTGTTCAATTAATTGTGGCTGGAAACTTTTTAATGGAAACATAGCACACACTTACTTCATTTCAGGTTATTAAATTGTGTTACGCATTAAAGTTCATTGCCATTATTTGCTGAAGCTCATTTGTTCTTTTCGATCCAAAGAAATATTAGATGGTTAAAACTTATCACCTTGGAGGGATTAATCGTGCTACCCCAATTAGAAGGCGTGTAGTTCTGAGACTGAAGAACAGTATCTCGTGCTCAGAGCACTTGAACTCTTGGACGAGGATGCCATTACATTTAAAATGGCAGCGAGTGTCGAAGTTTAGAAGCTAGCTCAAGGCAGAGTTCTCTTACTCTTTGGTGAAGGTAAGGACATTTATGCAAATTTTTCAGATTCATTTCTTCATCAATGGTTTGAGAAAAAGTCTCTTTCAGGGAAAACAGAGAGGCAAGCAGTGTTCATGGATATGTCTGACATAAATACAGTAGTCGGGATATATAAAGCAACCCAAGGAGGGTCGTGCCTAGCCGAAGCATTCAGAGCTTCAAGCTTAATAAATAATTATGATTCTTCAATGGAGTTATAGAGACTTGTGCAAAGTACTTCTAACGTATTATTGCTGTTTACAAGGGTGGGGTGTGATGAGGGAAAGAAATCTGGGTCAAAATAAAAAAACTGCTTTGTAAAATAAACAAAGTTCCTATTTACTTATGATGTATAAACAGCCACTCACCAAGCCTCGTTTCTCTGCAGGGCACCACTTTCAGATAAAAACGTAGACCTGAATGGCATCATCCAGTATCCAAGGAAACCATGTAAGTACCTCTCTCACTGTGTACTTCTCTTATTCAGAGTTTAAAAGCTAGCCGAGTACTGAATAAGTGAGTGTTTTTATTTAATAATTATACGGGAGGTACGTTTTAGGAGCTTGCTAAAAAGAAACAGGTTCTTGATTGTTATGTGCGTCATAACAAAACCCTTATGTTTTCATCATATTTCATAAAATTATGTGTTTAGTCCCAACTTCTCCATCAATTCTTGTTCTTAGGTACAAAACATCTACTCAAAGTCCTAATGAATTGAGAGTTTCAAACTTTTCCAAGACCCATTAGTGTCTAACAATGTTTCAGAGACCTCAGGCCAGGAGGAGCTTCTTAATTGTAGCAAAACTTCAAATTTTAAAAACTAAGAAAAAAAGTTTGGAAAATAGCATCTTATTAGTAAACATCTATATATTGAAAACCAGCAAAGAATCTTGAAAGCAATTGTAATTACCAATATGTAAAAATCTGGGGAAAAAGTTGGGAAGGCATTTTTTTCTTTTCTTTTCTGTTCCCAAACTAATATACATTTTTGTAGCTTACTTTAAGATTATGATTAATTTTTAGGAGCTATGAAATGTACTGAGGAAATTTAGTTTCTAAACAGCATACTATTCTGGCGAAAGAGTTCCAAAATATTTAAAATTTCTACCAAGTAGTTCCTTACCTGGACTTCATTTATTTTTTTCACATTTGTACCATATATTTTTTTTTTTTCATATTTTAGAGAAATTTTTTGCTATTATAGGAGCGTGCACTCTCCGGAGAGTCAGAGAGAGACCAAAAGTAAGAAATCAACCCTCGAGGAGGATGGTCACACCCCCAATCCCTTCTCTTCCATTCTCCTCTTGGGATTTTGGGCACGCATGCACACATGCCTGGCATGAGTTTTAAGCTGCCAGGGCCGGGACTTGAACCACCATCAACTATTTGGGAGTCCGGTGACGTAACTATTATGCCATCTGCTGGTCCCTGTACTCTGTACTTTTTTTTTTTTTTTTGGAGAGGTTTTTGCTGTAGGGCGCGTGCGCTCGCCCGACAGACAGAAAGAGACAGAGAGACAGAAAGTGAGAAATCACCCCCCCAGGGGGGATGGCCACGCCGCAATCCCTTCTCCTCCATTCTCCTCTTGGGATCTTGGGCACACATGCACACCCGCCTGGCATGAGTTTAAGCCACCGGGTCTGGGACTCGAACTGTGGTCGACTACGTGGGAATCCAGAGACATAGCCATTACGCTAACTGCTGGTCCTCCTGTACTATGTACTTTTAAAATAAAATTATTTTCAATATGAACTGATTATTCTTTATTGCTTATGCTTTTTCACAAAAATTAAAATTTCTGTATACTCATGTAATAATCGGTCTATTTTTTACCATCTAGATGAACCATTCCACTTAGATAGCCTTTTAAATACAGATGTATTTTCATTGAGGCTTTCAGGAGTTGAATTTAAAAGCAATGAATTTAGCCCTATGACTTGGGAGTTTTTCAGGTTACTTTCATTTACTTCTATTTACTCACATATTGTTTTCTTTCCTTTGTACCATGGTTCCTTGCTAAGCATAAATGGTAGATAAATTCGTTCACTGTTTCTCTGATGAATTAGAGAGACCCTATCTAACTGCAGTAGCATTTTGCTTCATCACATTACTAAGTTCAGTTGTTTACTGTACTTTTGTCCTTTCACATGTGCTATAAAATGAGTCTTTCTGAATTGCAAGATGAGAAGTTGTGTTAGGCTAACGAGTTTGCAGGAACTTTGTAAGGACTTGAGGGCCTTCTCACCCAGCAGGCGGACCTGACAAGGAAGTTAGTTTTTTCACTAGTTACAAACTTCAAAACTGTGGACTTTGAGGTCTGCTGTTTGCCCTCTAAAATAGGAATTCCTTGCCACAAAATAAAGGTTAGGCCATTGCTGGGTAAAGTTGGCAACACAGGAGGATTGGAATAGATTTTTATAAAGAAAGAAGATGTTAATTGAAGGGGAGACTGGCTGAAGTCTTCCCTTCATGGAATGGAATTCTCCGTTTTGAGAAAATGCTATCTTTTGAAATGAATTCTTCTTGCAGTGAGAGGAAAATGAAAATCTACACTGCAATGATCGTGGTGCAGATTTAACTATTTATGATAGCATATAGATTTTTAAAATTATTTTATTTAACTTTATTTATTATTTATTCATTTGTTTATTTAAATTTGACCATAGAGGGACAGAGTGAGAGAGAGAGAAAGAGAAAGTGAGAAAGCAAGCCGCCAGGTCCAGGACTTGAACCACAGTCGATCATGTGGGAATCTAGTGCCTTTAACCACCATGCCACCTGCCGGTCCCAGCATATAGATTTTTTTCAGGAAAAAATATTTAAATTTCATAGATTTAATTCAACCTTTAATACTAAAGGTTGAAATGACTTTATAGAAGTAATTTATATACGATTGGTGCAAAAGTAATTGCAATTTTTTTTTCTCTTTAATACCAAAAGGAAAATAACTGTGTATGTATGTATGTGTATATATATACACATATATATATGTATATATGTATATATACACACATCTATATGTATATATATATACACACACACACACAGAGTATATATATTACTGTATATACATATATATAGATAACTAATAAATATCAATATATTTATATATATAAATAATTGTGTGTGTGTGTGTGTATATATGTATATATTGGTGCAAAAACAATTGTAGTTTTAAATCATTATAACTCGGCTCAAACATATCTTTATTAATCAAATAGGTACCATTACAAACAACATGTTTTGCCAATGAGAAATAAGTTTGTTTAGAACTGTAGTGAAACTATCCCTGCTTAAGGCTTCAATGAACTCTTGGAAAGCATCTTCTGCATCTGGCTGTTTGTGGAAGCATTTTTTCCTGCAAAGAGTTTTGAGGTGCTTGAAAAAGTGGTAGTCTATTGGTGAAAGGTCAGGTGAATTTAGTGGCTGAGGCAAAACTTCGTATTTCATTTAACTTTCAAAGTGTTGGTTGCGTGACATGCAGTCGAGTGTTATAAGGAACTGGGTCCTTAACCAATGCTGGCGGAAGGTGTTGCAGGTCTCATTGCATCTCATCGATTTGGGCATACTTCTCAGATTTAATGATTTTGCTGGGGTTCAGAAAGCCATAGTGGATCATACCCCACCCAACAGTGACCATGACTTTTTTTTTTTTTTTTGAATACAAGTTTGGCTTTGGGATGTGCTTTGGAGCTTCTTCTCCAATCAGTGGACAGGTCATCACCAGTTGTCGTATAACTTCTACTTTTTGTCACACATCACAATCTGATCAAATAATGGTTCATTGTTGTGTAGAATAAGAAAAGATAATACCTCAAAATGACAATGTTTTTGGTTTTCAGTCACATCTTGAGGCACCCACTTATTGAGCTTTTCCATCTTTCCATTTGGCTTCAAATCCCTACAATGGTTGACCTTGAGTTCTTTGGCTATAAGAGGATCAGCTTCGATGATTGTTCTCAATTGGTTGTTGTCAACTTCTAATGGCTGCTCACGATGCTCCTCATCTTCAAGCCTCTCATTGTCTCTGTAAAACTTTCTGAACCACCACTGCACTAAGCCTTCATTAGTAGTTCCTGACCCAAGGGCGTTGATATCACTGTCCTCCACTGCTTTATGACCCATTTTGAACTGAAATAAGAAAATTGCTCAACTTTGCTTTTTGTCAAACATCACTTCCATAGTCTAAAACATATATATATATAATATATATATATATATATATATATAATAAACAGCAAGCAATAAGTCATTAGCAAAAAAACATAGTGAGAAATGTACATTAACATGAATATAACATAACTACACTTGTTTAAGAATGTATCCAAATCAAATAACAAATTTCAGCAATGCGAAACTGCAATTACTTTTCACCAACCTAATACATATCTGTATATACCATATATCATTCAAAAAGATAAATACTCTAAATATGTATATGTATATATCCCCATTCCCCATCCATCAGTAGTTGTCAATCTAACATAGAGCAGCAGCATTCAGTAGAGCTTTCGTGATGATGGGCAAGTCTGTATCTATACTGTCTGTTACAGTAACCACTAGCCACATGTGGCTGTTGAGAACTTGATATGTGGTTAGTGCAACTTCTCGGTTTCTCAACTAAATGTTAAAAAAACTTTTCCAGAGGGAGAGTGTATTCACTAGCGAGAGACTAGGATGGAGGTGTGTGACAAGGCACTCCCCATTGGACATGGTGACACCTTGTTCTCTTCTCCTCCATCTGTTTGTCCTTTCAGGATTTTGGGCACACATCTGAAATTTTTTTTCAAGTCACTGGTCTGAGACTTGAACCACATGGCCAGCCATGTGGGATTCATATGCCTTAACAACCAGGCCATGGGCTGCCCAAGAAACTAAATTTTGATTTTAATTACATTTCCTTACATTTAAATGTACATGGCCCACGTGTGACTTGTGGTAACTGTATTAGGTAGCATAGTTGTAGTTTAGACCAGCTAGAAATCTGGAGAGATTCAAATATGTATGGATTTAATATCTTTTTCTATGATTTCTTATCTCTACACCCATTAACACTGACCACAAGTAAAATCACTAATGCCTGAAGAGGAAACGTGCTCCAACATTTATGTTACAGAATTTTAAGAAATGTTGTCATGTGATAGGCTAAATTTGGAAAGAGGAGTATTTCATTTTCATCAGAAATTAAAATACCCTCTTGTGAGAAATTTCTAATCCTTTGATATTCTGTCATACAATATCTTTTTTTGTATTCAATATTTGAATTATCATTGTGGTAGAATTTTTTTGGGTAACATTTTCCCAGAGATGGATGTTTTTAATATTGTTGATGGGAAGACATTATAACATTGTTTCATATGCCTGGGATAGCAAGTTTGAAAATGGCCATTATAAGCAAGACTGAATCAAAAAGATAAATACTCTAATTGAAAGTTCTAACTATGGTGATA